CCCTATACCTTCTACCGACTTACCTTCTAACTTGACATTTTTCAGTTGCTATAGTGCGTGCTCGTGTTATCATTTATTCTATATTTAACATTTCCCTCTATGCCATTAGTTCTAAGTAGTCAACAATGAGCCTTAAAGAGACTAACACGCAAGCTGTGCTTGCGAGTTTTAGTTTCAATATTGATCGTACCTACTGAAGATTGGCTGGAAATATGTTGAGACTTTATTTCAGCTTTAAAAGGTAAATAATAGCAATGCATCACGGCGGTAACATATGAATATGTTTTTGTTTCAATTGTTCAAGTGTTTAAACTCTTTATTGCATGGACGAAGGCTGCTTGGAAACTGAATCACCCGAATAGTAAATGAAAATAATCGCGAGTTAGAAATAATATATATATATTGTGTGATTGCTACCTGAAGCAACATTTTGTATATGACTAACTGCAACTGTAAGAATAATATGTTATATATATATATGATAAATTAAGAATGAATTTTACTCCATGGTATCGGATAAAGCAAGTAATCATTTTTTTAGAAACATATTTTCCATTAAAAAAACAAAAAACGCTACATTTCGCTAGATTTATCTGTCATCGTCAAGTGGATATATTACGTGTTGCGGAATCAACAGCGATACTACATCGATAAGTAACGAAATATGAGCAATTCAAACACAACTGTTAAATACGGAAAAAGTGAAATATAATTTTTCACTATTTAACAGCTATCTTTGTTTTTGGTATACTATCAAAATTAGATCAAACGTCTACGTCATTAAAAGGTCAATAATTTTTTTTTAAAAATGTTTGTTTGTAATTAAGCACAAAGCTACACAATGGGCTATCTGTGCTCTGCCAATCACGGGTATCGAAACCCGGATTCTAGCGTTGTAAGTCCGCAGACATTCCGCTGTGCCACTAGGGGGCGTTTTTAAAAAATGGATCTCAAGTTGCACTCATTATATTCATAAATAAAGGTTAAAGGATAATAGAGACTGGTTTCGATGCCGTGGTGGGCAGAGCACAGATAGCCCTTGTGTAGCTTTGTGCATAATTAAAAAACAAACAAAATAAAAAAATGAAAGTAAGAGGAACAAAATATCTAAAGTATAAACATTAAGTTTTATTGTATATATATATATATATATATATATGTGTGTGTATGTTTATTACGTAAACCATTCTCCATTTTAAATATGATTTCACAACAGAAACACTCGAATATGTGAATTAGACTAGACTGGACACAAAAAAAAGAGGAGAGTGAGAGAAAGAAGAGGAAGTCAATGAACTTCCGTTTGTCTTCTGTTACTCCGCACACTCGAAGCTCGGTTCATTCGGTGGGGAATTTAACACATCACGAACAAAAACGCATACATGAGAAACACGAAAAATGAATTTTCTTCATAACAAAAATAACATGCTTTAGGACTTAAATATATTGTACCGCGAAGTGGAAACGGTTTCTGCTAATTTCTTACTTTTATCTAAGTCACACTAATCACTCACTGTATGCTCCCTCCCCAAGGAAACGCTGCATTTGGGTGGTCTTTTCTTCACATGGTTTTGGTTGTGCTACAGGATTTTCTGTTTTTAAGTTGCAGAAAGGCGCATTTTCTTCGTTCCTCGAAATCAGTTCTGAACTATCTTACTGATCACGCCATCTATCAAATATTTTAGCTTTATCAAGCTTTGTTCATGCCTAAACCATTTTCTAATTATACCCCACTAAATTATTTTCATAACAATATACACGATTTTATTGTTACAATCACCTTTTTTTTGCTTGTCGTCTTGGACACCAATGTATTATTTACATTTATTTTTATATCTTCTCGTCTTTCTTATTTATACATTCATCTGCCTCGGCGTATAATTAATTACACTTATATTGCCTGCATAATTTGTACATAAAGTTATCTTGCAAACAACATTTTATAAATACTTTCTGTAATACTTTACTCGGCATCTATCAACATTTTACTCAACAACACTAGAGTCAATTTTTAATCAGGTAAAATAAACACGAATTATGAGAAAATTATATACCGGCTTCCCATCCCTTCCCCCTTCCCGGTCTATATGTAATATATTTCTACAAGTCTAATAGATTGAAAATATAAAACAATAAAAATAGTGTGCGTGTTTATAGTAAAAATACATCGGGCTATCTGCTGTGTCCACCGAGTGGAATCGAACCCATGATTTTAGCGTTGTAAATCCGTAGACTTATCGTTGTCCAGCAGGGGACCAAAGGCAAAGCGGAAAGGTGTATTGAAGTGCAGACCGTCAGTCTCGCATTATCAGCGTAATCTAGATAGCCACTATTTAAAAGGAAACATCATCGGACTTTTTATTCCGTAGATTTTTTTAAAACATATAATAGTAACCAGACGTATTGGTCTCAACTTGACACACACACACACAAAGAAAATTAGTAGCATGACAAAATTTTAGGAAAACAGCAAATTAATTTACGATCACTATAACTTGGGTCACGAATGTTTTCTCTACCTGACCACATTTGTAAAATATTGGTCTCAATACCTTAACCGTTGGGGTCACTTGTTAATCAAATTATTTTCTCAGTTATTTACTACATCAAAATGGTTTGTGGGGTCTGTGACTCTTTGGTAACAGAGTTCATAATAACATTTGATTCACAAATAAAAAAATGAATACAAAATATGCCATCAATATTTTAACTAATCCTGCTAATTATATAGAATATATGTGATTTTTACACGATTTAGCAATTCTGTACACTCGGTTGTATCTCAGGTGCAAACGATATATCTCAATGCAATGCAATAAGTGGACCTACTCGTTAGTGAACGGTGTGTAACCAAGATTGAAGAAGACAGTATTTCACAGTATTTATCTAGAATTGTTTGTGTGTTTGTAATTAAGCACAAAGCTACACAATGGGCTATCTGTGCTCTGCCCACCACGGGTATCGAAACCCGGATTATAGCGTTGTAAGTCTGCAGATATACCGCTGCGCCACTGGGGGGGGGGGAGGCTTTATCTACAAAGAACCGAAAACTTGCGAACAAGTTGGAAGACGTTGTAGTGGCGGGGATACATATTCTTCTGAATAAGTGTCCAAAAAGTAAGGGGAATATTTTTGAACATTTGGGAGTAATTGTGGGTCGTAGAGTAAAAGAGGAATGGGGAATAAATGAGTAGAAAAAATGGGAAGAAAATAGAAGAAAGAAAAGCAGAGAAATGGGATAAATAGGGGAAACAAAACGATATATTGACGTAATTAATTGGCGCTGTTGTCAACCGGTCAAACAGGGAAAAAGCAGGGAAGAATTCTATGAGCTTCAATTGAGGTTAAATGAAGAATATTTCGTCCTGTATTATAGGTTTGCTGAAAAGTGGGTTTAAGTATTTCACAGGAACAATTGAAATAAAAGCTGCTACTAGTAAAGGAAAGAAATGGTATACTATTACATTATTTACGGGAAGTTTCTTTAATTATATATTTGTTCTTAAAATAACCCGATCGCTTATTATCCTTTACATATTGCGTTTTTTTTTCTTAACTGTGAACGCTTAGCGATGATTTTCATATAATTTTTGCGTATTTTTTGCCTTTTGTGTATTTTTATATCTATCCTGTATGACATTATGTGCGGTAAAATGTAACATTGTGGAGAGCCTACGTGTGAGTGTAATGTTGCTTGTTTCCAGAATCTGAAGTAATCTCAAAGACATGATAGACAGTATATTTTGTACAGATTGAACTCAAAGCCTTAAAACTAACGATTTCTGTTCACTACTCTTTCCACTCATTGAACTCAAAGCCTTAAAACAAAGATTTCTGTTCACCAGTCTTTCCATACATTGAGCTCAAAGCCTTAAGACTAAAGATTCTTTTCACTATTCTTTTCGTACACTGAGCTCAAAGCCTTAAAGCTAAAGATTTCTGTTCACTACTCTTTCCACTCATTGAACTCAAAGCCTTAAAACAAAGATTTCTGTTCACTAGTCTTTCCATACATTGAGTTCAAAGCATTAAGACTACAGATTATATTCACTACTCTCTACAATAATTGAACTCAAAGCCTTAAAACTAAAGATTTTGTTCACTACTCTCTCCATAAGTTGAGCTCAAAGCCTTAAGATTACACATTCCGTTCACTACTCTTTCCATACATTGCACTCAAACCCTTAAACTAAATATTTCTGTTCACTACTCTTTCCATACATTGAGCACAAAGCATTAAGACTACAGATTCCTTTCACTACTTTTTACATATATTAATTAATTAAGCCCAAATCTTTAAGTTTAAAACTACAAATTTCTGTTCACTACTCTTTCCGTACCCAGTGTCTACTGCAAATATTGTATCGAAAGTATCAATAAGTAATATTTTGTTTATTTAAACAAAGTACTTTTTTCTTATCTTCGACTATTATTTACTCGGAGCAACAACAAAAACCGTGTCACATCACGCTAACGATACTAGTTTATCTCTTTCATTTTATCAGCGCAAATTTCCGGTTGACTATCGATATTTTATACAGGGTTATGAAGCGAGAGTGGCACAGCGCCCTCTCGACAATGAATCAAAAATGAAGATCTAAAAAGAAGCACGTGACACGAGTTAGTAGTTCCCGAGGTTTACGGTGTTAAAGAGTAGATTGCAAAACAATAGAAAGTTGTTAATATGACTGATAGGTTAAAGAAATAAATCTAAGTTGTCATATTTTAAAAATAACATGAATAATTATTTCAAAAATATGATATTTTAGAATTGTTGTTTGTTCAAATCTTACATTAGGGTCTTAAGTTCAATAGAATTACAAATAATGTTACTTTTACAACTATAAACGTTAATCTATTACGGGCTTTATTAAAATGATTAGTTCAACGTTTGGTGTTTGAGAAACATTTTCTGTTACGTTCACCATTACTTTCGTGTCAGTGCTAAACTTTCAGCTACCACATAACAAGAAGTGAAACTTACATAACTAAACACTTACCTCTTAGTCTCGAGTATTTTGATTGAAAGCCTTCGTTCAGTGCTGATGTAACCAATGCATTTTATAAATTATAGTAGTTAGCTAACACAATTAAGCAACTGTATTTGTTTTACTTTTGTTTGAAACTCAGTGACTATGTATTAGCACGTAAGACACACGTGTTACCTATTCCTCAACTCTATTTCTACTAGCATTAGCTTACAGTACAGGATCGGTACTACACCGTAATCTTTTATAACTAATACTTCAACATTTCAAGCAAACATTTTTATCTTCGTGAGCTTACAGTGTCGTCGTCGAGTACAAACGTTGCTACAAAAATACTCGTGAGTTATAACCGTTGACACATGTACTCCTTTTCGACATAAACAAACAAAAAATAACAAAACAGCAGTAACACCGCGATGAGACAAAGTAAGGTTTTCCGTCACAAGTGGCGTCCTTCAGTGCTTGAGCTCGAGCCATGTCGATTTTCCCCGTGACGGATAAATCCGTTAGCAACACAAGCTTGAGTGACAGCAACAACGACCAATTGGCGGTGGATCGGGCGTGTCATGATTAATTTTCGGTGAAATTTTTGACCTTCTTAGTTTTTATGGGTAACTAACCGCAGGTACGAAGTGTCTATACGATCCCTGATTATCACAGAAGTACCATACAGGATTAGACCTCTCCTATTTACAGCTAAACAGTTCTTTGGAGCTGATGAGAACAAGCTTATGGGTCAATGACGAGGTATCTCTCCGCATTAAAAGGTCTGTTTCTAACTGGAACTAATCGTGAGAATTATTCTTCGTGCTCTACCCTAACGCAAGCTAATACGTGTCTAACTGGTGGATTCTCCTATGGAAAAGCAGAACAATTTGATGATTATGATATAAAATGTACCCAGTGTCCACTAGGTTGTGGTGATTTATTTTAAGTTAATTAATACGTTCGACCTGAGAACGCAAATGTCCCTTGAAAATTTTTGATGAGTAAACCTGACATAGCTACCTGGGTTATATAACTTTGTTTTACCTGGTTCTATGAATAGTTTCAAGTAGCTACTTGGTAGTTTTCCTGCTGGATGCATCTAAAAGTAACCATTAACTTTGTTGAAAATGGCCAATAACTAACTGGATTTTTTCCGTGATTTATCTAAAAGTAGTCAATAATCCTTATGGAAAATGACCAGCAACTGTTTTTCTTCGCAATGCATCTAAAAGTGGCCAATAATCATTGACGAAAACAACCAGTAACTGTTTTTCTTCACAATGCGTATAAAAGTGACGTATCTAAGAACGTGATGTATCTAAAAACGGCCAATAATCCTTGTAAAAAATGACCAGTAACTGTTTTTATTCCCAATGCATCTAAAAGTAGCACTAAAGCGCTTGTGATCATTACCAAAGAGATACGTAATATATAAACTATTAGGTGATCCTTAAATACAACAATAAATGCAGGAAAAACACAGAATTATTTCAAAATACTGTACAGAAAAATATCCCAATCGGTCTACCTTACGAGAGCACCAGGTTATCGTGTTTCTTATATAACCGTCCCTAATTTAGCAGTGAAAGACTAGAGGGAAGACAACTAGTCATCATCACCCAACGTCAACTTTTGGGCTACTCTTTTATCAACAAATAGTGGGATTGACCGTCACATTATAACGTCCCCACGAGCATGTTTGGTGGAACTGGGATTCGAGCCCGCGACCCTCAGATTGCGAGTTAAGCGCACTAACCACTTGGCCGGCCATACCAGGCCATCGAAGTCATGGAACCACGAGCAATTTAATGTGTACATAGAGAAGAAAAGTTGTTTAAAATGGCAATGGGGTCATATGAACACCATCGGTAATACAATGACTTAATCACATATATTAATCATAAAATAATAAATGAATGAAGGTTAGCATTTGAGGCTTGGTTGTTGTTAAGCCCAAAGCTATACAATGAGTTATCTGTGCTTTGTCCACCTCGAGTATCGAAATCCTGTTTTTAGTGTCGTAAGCTTGCAGAATTACCGCTGTGCTTCTGGAAGGACTAGCAAGAAATAAAAGTTTTATTATTTTATCAGTAATCTTTTCTTCATCATAATCAAAAGATGATGAAGAAGAAGAGAGTTAATTTTCAAAAGCTGGTTGATCTATTAAATGTATATAGTAATTTACTGGTGCAGTGTAAAACAGAAACAACACAGATGAACAATGTTTCCCAGCTAAAACACAATCAGAACAAATGATTTATTCAGCCTTAGGCGATTAGGAGCATACTAAATATAGGCTCGTTCAACCCGGCACTCACTCAACTGTTTGTTTGTAATTAAGCACAAAGCTACACAATGAGGTATCTGTGCTCTGCCCACCACGGGTATCGAAACCCGGATTCTAGCGTTGTAAGTTCGCAGAGATACCGCTGTGCCACTGGGGGGCCACTCAACTGAGCCAAATATTGTGAAGAAACAAAGTTTTTTAGAATCAGTAGTTAGCTCGTCGAGGATCCCAGATGTCGTTCCTTCTGCATAGAGCTAATAAATAATAATAATAAAATAGATGAATCAAAACTGTATAATAATATCGTTAATTTTTTTGAGAAGTTTGTTTGCTGTTGTCGGGTTTTAGGTATGGGCTGGATTCTTTACAGCAGGTGTCCGTGACTTGTTGGCGATAAATTTCAACAAAAAACAAACAGCACACAGTCCACTTTTTAAAAAATAATATATTAAAACAAGTCAAACGTATGTACAAATGTTCGTTACACTATTTATTATCACAGTTGTATACAGAGCTTCAAATAATTATCTTTTTTTTTGTCAAACTCCACACAGGCGGGTTCAGTTACTTTAGAACACAGTTTGGGGAATTTTGACTAGCTGCCTTCCCCCTAGTCTATTTCTACTGAATTAGGGACGGTTAGCGAAGATAGCTGTCGTGTAGTTTTGCGTGAAATTCAAAAACAAACAAACAAACTCTATCAGATGAAGGTTTTATCATTAAATACGGTAGTACTTAATAGTATGGATCGTGAAATGGCGGCCATAAAAATCGCCAGTTTAAAACCACCTTTAAAATGTCTGAATATTAACAATGACTATTTTACAGTATTGGTTGAGCAAAACTAAAGCTTATTGTATTTATAAAGCCACCCAAATCGTTATATACGTGTTTATGGGGTGAATCAAAATTTCGTTATTTCAACAAATTTTCATTTAAGTAAGTAAGTATGTGACTTTTCAAGACAAGCGTACAGAAAGAGATGATGATTCTTATCGCTCTAATTCTTTCACATATAATTATTTGGACATATAATTAGATCTGAGGGTGGATTGATAAAGATCCACGCTTGGTATCGCTGGCGCACAAAAATATCGCAAATGAAATATGTATAATAAAAAAATAACAATTTTATAAAAACAAATAGGGATCGATATATACGTAACCTCGCTAGCTACAGTAATACAGAAAGTTTTAATGCTACAAAAAGTATTAACACAAGAAAGTCAAACCCACAAAAACTGAGTTACTTAAAAATTATTATCTCTACTTTGGCTCATATGAACACAATTATAGTGATTTGCCAAAATAAGGATAAAAAAATAATAATTTTAAGAAACTCAGTTTTGTAGTTTTGACTTTCTTGTTTCAATACTTTTCTAGTATTTAAGCTTTTGTATCACTATAGCCAGCTAGGTTACGTGTATAACGATCCCTACTTGTCTTTATAAAATTGAATTTTTTATTATACTTGTCATATATAACTTTCAATGTCGTAGAAATGATATCCCTCTAAACGCCACTGGAAATTCTCTGGCATTTCTTCTTCGCCATAGAAAGTCTTAAAAATTTTGTTTTTCACTCTTCTCAATTGTGTTACTTTAACAAAAACCAACATTTGAAAATCATTCTTGTAATATTTTATTTACAGTGCACATAATAACAAAATACTGAGAAAGCCTAATATTCAGATTAAAAGCGATGAAGGAACTTTCGATTAAGTTAATATATTTTAAAATGGCCGAACGGTTTCCTAAAATGATAATATTAGTATTTTTTGTTGTTAATAAGTGCAAAGCTACACAAAGGGTTATCTGTGCTCGGCTCATCACGAGTATCGAAACCCGGTTTCTAGCGTTGTAAGTCCGCAGACATAACGCTGTACCACTGTTCTGCTTTGGGAGACCAAAACAAAATAAACGTTGTAACAATTTCGAGATAACTGGGTGTAATCAGCTTATTAAAATCACTGTACTAAAATTTACATTTAAAACTAAATATTTCAGTTTTTAGTTTACAGGTTTTAAGTACTAATGCATATTGTTACCGAACTTAAAACTTTGTTACGTCTCCGGTTGTTAATTAATTTTCCGTAACTTCGTTCCGACGAAACTTAAGCGACACAAGTTCTTTCTT